GGGTTTGTAGCTGGGATGCAAGAAGTACCAGACTTTCTTTACAAAGTGGTCTATGCTGGGTTCCCTCCTGGAGCCTCTAACGTACACCATCCACTTATGGGTAGACTGGTCATTCTCTTCCCGCTTATCAGGGGGGATGTACCTGAGGGTAAGAGGCAAAGAGTAAAAACAGCCAAAGGGAGTAAAGAATAGGCCCCAATAAACATGAGGGACAATGCATAGGGATTAGGTTGTTAAAGAAGGTTAAAAAAAGAGGACTTAAGCGCTATAGAAGTAGCAAAACAAAGAGAGGTGATAGGCAGCTAGGAAGACAAAACTATAAAGGAGTTGGTACTTTTTATTTCACAAAGACCTCTTTGAAGGGGAAAGGGGGGAAGAACAGAGGATTAAGAGAAGACCCAGTGCATGGGTCACAAGCAACTCTTCAGTATAGAAGAAAGAACCCAATGGAGAATGAAATGCATTAAATTGTATATTAGTTAGCAGTCTAGGTGAAATTCCACATTTATTGTATTTACAGTTTATTACTGTTGTGTCAGGTTTAGGCCTTCTTATTATGTACAACTATGCACTGTAGCACGTGAGAAGGGACTATCACATTCAGCCCTCCAAGACATTTAGTGTGCACAAGCTACATGTTCCTTGTCAATCAACCTTCCAAGAATTACATGCGCTTCATATTACACTGAACCACATATTCTCAAGGACAGGGCAGTTATGTGGATCATCTGGGACCTAGGAGAAAATAAATAAGCTAAAAAGGTATTTTCAAGCTTCATCAAGACTGGGCATGTTACAAAACTGAATTATGGCTCAGCTCTTCAGTGCACAGTCATGCACAAACAAATTCAACTGACAGGCTGGGCTTTAAAAATATTGAGATGCACAAGTACAAAGCTTTTGAGGGATAGCCATACTGGTTTTTGAGAGGAAGCAACTAAAAATCAAGATGACCACCCCTCAGTTATACAGTTCATCTAACATTTTGCATTTAACGTTCAAATGAATTTGGCAGCAAGGACACAGACCCAGGACTTGCTTCATAGCTGAAGCTCTATGATAAATTAATAGGTTTCACTTACTCCTTTAACCTTAATTTCTTTTTGAAAAGCTAAGACAAAACACCTGGATACTTTGTACTAGTGATATAAGTATCTATGACTTACAACACTTCATTCTTTTTAACAAAGGTATTTGGAATATCAGCGGATTTGACAAACACCATGTCTAAGGTTTCCAGGGAGACTGATGAAAATAAAAATTTTGATGTTGTAATTGTGTGGCTCTTGAAAGGCTCCTGCTAAATCAGAAAGACATGTGCTACAATACACTGAGTCAGAAAGATGACAGAGTGTGTAAAACCTATTCTTAGTTGGGTTACGTACTTGGATACATTCCCCACTACGATTGTCTTCTTCGCATACAGTCTGGAGGCTTCGTCTCCAGTAGTGTGGTAGATCACCCTCTGATCTCCTCCTACAGACAATGGCACACCAAAAGTGTCCTACAAGTAATGGAGAACATAGTTAGCTTGATGAAAGATAAAAATATGCAAGATTAATGCTGATAACCACGTCACATTCATCACTTTCATAACCCTGTCAGTTGTACGCACCTTGCCTGTATTACGACCAGGTCTCCGCTCCTGCCTGTTGCTCTCCTCTCTCCATGCTCCCTCCACATCCCTCTCAGCTCCCTCTCCTTGCTGTGAGAGGGACTCAGACTCTGAGTGAGCCAGGGAAGGAGTCTCAGAGCCTTGGTTGAGAGGGGAAGAGGAACGGGATGGGGACTCCAGGAACCGTCGGATGGCTGGATGGTTCAGAACTGCAGGGTCACTCTTAGAGGTATGCTAGGACACAGAGGACACAGTACTGGTTGCTGCTACCATGCCTTAGACCAGCTGACAGGCAAATATGAAAACATGGAACCCCAGGATAAGGAAATTTACCTCAGGGAGCTTTGTCACCCCAGCACTCGCATAGTAATTGGCAACTATGCATGCCCTTAGCTTGTCCATCATCCTCCTGGCTTCATTGAGTCGCTGCAAAACAATGAAATGTAATGAACCAAAATACTATGTGTCCATAAACATACATTTAATGTCATGACGTACCCTCCATATCAACAAAGTTTTGAACATACATTAATAATATAATTATACTACTATGTGAAATGTAGTATAATGAAAAGAAGAAAAGACACTGTTGTTTTAACATCCAGGTACCTGACTTATCACATCTATCTCGTGCTCTTTGCTCTTCATCTCCAAAGAAAACTGCTCTCTGATGATGGTTTCAATCTTCTGTACTGCTGCTTCTCGGGCTGTTAATGTAGGAAGACAATAGGAAGAGATATTAAAAGATCAGGAAACAACCAAGTACTGTTAGTTATTAGCTGTCACAATATGTAAAGCAGGTGTACTGACTCAGGGTTCAGAGCATGAACTTACCATTATGTTCAACCGCTTTGTTTCTCTTACTATTTTGGACCAGTGAAATGTCCTCATAGTCGGGATCATTGCCTTCTATTTTCCTTTTAACCCCTGACATGGTTGCCTGTAAAAAGAACATAAAACAGCTAATTCTAGCTAATTATATCACTGCTCCTATGGCTAGTTGTGATTATACTTCGCATCGAGTTAGCTGGCTAGCGCAGAAGCTGTCAGGATACAGCTATTGCCCACAGCTAACTTTAGCACTGACTAGCTAGCTAGTTATGCTAATATAGGTTAGCAGACCGTGTACAACCTAGCATGTGGTTTCCAACTATATAGCCTATCATTTATAGAACACGACAGCTTTCAACTAAGCTAATTAAATCAAAAATCTCAAATTTTTCGCCACCGTATTATGTCGCACGACGTCTGCGTTAGAGAAATCCGTGCTAGTCGTCCGTGCAGCCGGCAACACTGTAACGTTAGCAACCGCTATCCTTGTTTGCTAATGTAGCTAGCGTTAGCACACATTTGAAGACACCGATTCAATCCGTTTGAAATGCAAACTTACGGGGCTGCCCTGCACTGTGGAACAACGTTTCTTTGTGAGGCGTGTGTTTTAATTCAGTGAGAGCATATCCTTTGCGTTATGCTGTATTAATCTTACACATTCGTGTTTGGTAAATTGCTAAATCTCGAGGTGGACAAGTAGGCTAAATAGTGGAGAGTTAGCTTTGCACTTTAGCAAAATAGCCACCAGGGGTCGCTATTCTACAAACTCGATGGTGCTGCTCTTGGAGCCCCTCGTGAATAAAAGGCATTATCATGTTTCTTCAGTTTTTGTTCAATGGGAAAAGGAAATGTGATAGCCTGTGTTACAGGCATTTACTGTTAACTGTCCAGACAGGTGATAATAAACAAGAATGGAGATGACATGCCAAAGTCTGTAACCCCACTGCACAACTGAAAAGTTGATATAACATGATCTGATGAGATAACAATACACAAAACTCTTGGTATTAAACTCATCTGTTATCATTTCATGAAAAGAGATTATTTCATTTTTTAAATGATTGATTCAGTGGAAACCCTAAGGACCATCACATCATTATGGCAGAATTGTGACTATAAACAGTGATTTCACGCATGTGCAGGATAGTGCCTAAAGAAATACTACTTTTAATCTTACATGTTTAAACTGGGAAGCACCAGCAGGTATATGCCATGAACTAGAAAGAAAGAAGAGGAACATGTTTCTGATTAGCACATTTTAGATTATCAGGAATGGGATCGGTTTCACATAGTTTATCACTATCAAGCGTTCTTACAAGACATATGCGGAGATGAATTTTGATGCCAGGTGTGAAGTGACTTGCCAAGAGCTATGGACTTGTGATCGGATCACCAAAGACATCTACATTATGAATAGTAAATGCTTTGTTATGCACAAAATTAAAGGGATTTTACATTTGTTTCTAGATATGACACCTGTCAAAAAGCATTTACTATTACTTTGCAACTTCCTGCCCACAGATTTAATATTGTTTGGTTGTTATTCACATTTTACTTTTTTTTTTATGAACAGTGAAGCCTTGTGTTGTACCACAGTGTTACCATCCTTATTAACTTATGCATCCTTATGTGTCTCACCAGGATGTGTGAGGGTGTGAAGTGGTATTATGCTGCCAGTGCCAAATGTCTTATGAGCAAGATTAATGTATGTACTTACATGGACTATGATATACAGTGTTTTCCTGTCTGCATGTACTTGATGAACTCTAAATTCTCTCTACATTGTTTGGTGTTAATACAGAGACACAGTGTCCATAAGAAGCTGCGAGAGGTTGTGGTTTTCATTAAACCAAAACCATAATATGGTGAACATAAATCAGAGCATAAGACAACAAGAACGCCTTATGAATGCTTACAGCACCAAAATGTCCCAGTCCTAGCTTGAAGTAGTGTGCCTGGTTTTATAGACTGTTTTCTTGTTCAAGACAATGGTTCATTAAAATATCACGATTGATTCATTAACCCCATTGATGGAATGAAAGATTTAGCAGCCATATGGAGAGGATTGCACAATGTTAAATAAAACGTCAATTTGTATTTTTTTACTGGTGGTTGTTTATTAAAAATCTGTTGTGCCTTCATTGAACTCCTTGGTGTGGTTGGTAGAAACAACAGCAGTAGGTTCACCAATTCAGTATCACCCACTTTTCTATTGGCCACATTCTTATGGTTTGAAGATTCTGGAGGGAAGACCAATGTGCTGATACATATTTTAATGATAATGACCAGTAATGGTTGTGTCAACCTTATCTATCATATTCACTGCAAAAGATGCTTTTCATCTCAGTCTTCTGAGTCCTTCTCATATCGAGTCAAAGCTTGATTTAAATGTATTAATGAGTTTAAATCCAAACCTGGCATGAAGATGATCCACACCCCCATTTTTACATCATAAATTCACTGTTAGATACGTTCAAATGCAATTTAAAAAACTTATTTTTAGATTATTTCATTCTTAAACCACTGTTTTTACAGCTGAGACAGGATACAAATGTTGGTACAGAACGAAAAACTTTATTGATGTTTCTCTTACACAAGTCAACCATTACATTTCAACATACTGCAGTTTACAAAAATCCAAAGCTTTCTTGCAGTTAGATAAAGAGCATCTGAGGAGAAAGTGGTGTTAAAATATCACATCATACATACCATAAACGTTTATATCAAAATTATCCAATTTAATCCCCCCAGTTGTTATTTTTTTACTAAGGCATACAGGGCAGCATTCTGCAATTAACAGGTTAAAGCCACCATCTTCCATGCAAGCACAATTTATCCATTGACATGTTTCAACAAAGTCACCTCTGCAATCAAATCCACTTTGGCTTATATCTGCATTTATAGTAAAACCCATCAATCAACTGTTAATGCTCAGCTCTTCAGAGTTTTATTTAAGGTACGCTGTTTGCGTGTGGTAGTCAAAATATCTCAGCAACACACAGTCCCACAACTCACCACAACAAGCAAAAGAGAAAAAAAAATCTAACATAAAAACAATGAATAATCTTATCAAAAGCAATGTATGAAAGCCTCTACACAGCGAATAATGAAAAATCAACAAATCAACATGACAGGGCTGTGTTTGTGTCCCATTCTGTGTAAATACCCAGTGAAATCACAGACGCACACACACTCAAATTCTCTCTCTCTCACTATTTATCTAACTCCCACTCTCTTGCCTAACCACTTTCTTGCCTCTCAGCCTCCTCTTGTTGGCCTCCTGAGTTACCCGAAATATGTCACTCTGCAAAAGAGTGTGGAGTGAGGTTGGGCCTGAGGACATTTTCAGCCTGCACTACTGTTGAAGACCTGACACTGAACTTCTCCTTCTCAGAAAATGCCTGGAGGATGGTTTAAACTGAAATACCTGCACCTGTTTTTGTCTTTGTGACTGACAGACGGAAGCACATCCCGTATTTGTCACCGTAAAATGAAAAGTCAAAACCCTCTTACTCACTCTTGGCATTGTTCTCTTGCAGCAATCTCTGTTGTTTTTGTTATTCTGTTTATATGGGAGACATAGCAGGTAGCGGTCAATAGGAGGAGCTGGCAGACCCTTTTACCGTTTCTTACATACGTCACATGAAAGCAAAGAAAATTTACTGATACAGTAAAAAAAAAGGAAATCATTGTCATATAATTCTATATTTAACAGGATTCTGTCAAAGTGCACAATTGGGGCTCTCAGTTAAAGAAAAATACAATATGTAACCAAGAAAGAGATACATTTAAATACAGGTTAAACAACAGAAAACAAAACAAAAAAATATTAAAGTTGTATTCACAGCAATATCTCTAGTCTATCAACACCAATTGTAATTAAAGGTGACTTTTACTGACCATGAGCCACTCCAGCCAAAATCCTTGTCATAGAGAACTCTTAACTCCCCCCCCCCCTCTGCGAGGTATGGCACTGCTACACATGTCACCTTAGCTGACCAGTAAACACAAGTAAACACATGCACACCTGGAGGTATCTATGGTTACCCCGAGTTACATCTTTACATGTAAGCACACAGGTGAGAGGTGCCAGCATCAGTGTGGAGAGTTCTGTTAACAGAGGTTAGCAGACGTCTAATGCTTACACTAGAACTCCATGACAAACCTCCATGGCTCCAGCACATCCAGACCGAGTCATAAAAGTCACATATATACATACACACCAAACATGCACGCCACGTATTCAGAGCAGTCTTCGAGTTTGATCTACAAAGGCTTCTCACATCTACAAAACCACCCGCAAGCCCAGTACACCAATGAACTACCATTGATATGAAATAGACACTAAAGCTACAGATAATACAATAAACATCCAATTATAAAAAAAAAGGACAAACACATATAACTTAAAAAAAGAACAAAAAGAAAATGTAAGTTATGAGTGTAATAAGCATAATTATAAAAAAAATAAAGCAAAATAAAGCTTAAAAGGGGATATCAATGTAGATCAGAAAATGTGAGGGAATGGCACAGCTGGAGCAGGAAAAAAGGAAACACGCACTGGAAGTGAAACTAGATGATACGTGAGATAAAAAGAAATTAGGGCAGTGCTAACAGTGGCTACGTTCCAATATCATGGTACAGCCTCCGCTCTTTATATCCTCTCTTAACCATGGGTGAGGGCAACTTACATTTATGACCACTGATACTGTGGAAGAGCAGCTGGCTGACTGTTTACCACGTTGTTATCAGGTCACTTTTAGTCAAGAAAAGAGCTAAAAAAAAAAACAGAGGACAGTATTTTTTTCTATTCTTTACCAGTGCTGTGCTGTACAGTACTGAATCTACATACGTGCTTTGTGGGTACAAGGTCAGAGCTCAGACCTGGCTGCTCATCTTTCAGTCACAAATAGAGTCCTATAATTTTTCTTCTGCTGGCAGATCTCTCTTGGATTTGTACGGATACTTTTCAATTGTTGCCTCAAGGCATTATTTTTGTTCATCAGAGCTATCTGTGATCACTTTACCACGACAGCAACCTAGATCTCAGGGAGAGGTCACTTTGCACAGTAATAAAAGCACATTGTTGGGAGGTTCACTTACTGATTCCCTGCTTATCTATTACCTGCTTCATATCACAGTAAAATCAAGCTCAACAATGTTATTGGCTATTTAGCTGTTTGAGTTAGTATTAAATCCATAAAAGTAGTGCAGTGATGTAAACAAAACATTTAGTGTCAGAAACTAAAGTGTTCAGCGGAATAGAAGATGATCATCCTCAACATTAGGCATAATTTATTTTCTTTGAAAATGTGAAAAAATGTTACATTTCATGTGGGAAAACAGTCTGAACTAACATTTACTTACTTAACTTTTCATTGAGAAAGGACCATATACCATGGCCTTCTTCGGCAGATCGAAGCTCAGGTGTAATCACAAGACCTATGTACTGTACTTAGATCACATGATGGGATATGGTTAAAAGCTCTGCGAAAAATACATGAACCTTGAGTTTATAATATCTTACTACACAGGTTGTGAACTAATCTCTCAAGTGAGATTTCAATTAGACAAGTAATCATGTTTTCATCGATTATCTGAAACCTGATTGGTAGCCATTATCATAATCACATTCTTTAATTGTGTTAAATATATATGTTGATCCAATGCTCCCCAACCTTGTGCAGTTACTACTAACAAATATGCCATGTCGACCTGACTCCACTTTATCTCAAGTTGTAGACAAGTCATTAGCATTATCAAACACTAAGCATTCCCAGAGAAGGGCCATAAGTATGATACACAACGGCAAAAGATTCACAGCACCACAGTGACTATTGCTACATGATGCTGTGAGAAAATAAATTAGATCAACAGAATCGTATGATTAAATGTGCCTGTTTTAAAGCAGTGTGTGATTGTGTTTGTGCTGTACATGGGGTGAATGTGAAGAGCTTAAGTTTGAAAGAGTTGAAGTTCTTTAGTTTGTGTTCTCATGTGAGTGTGTGTGTGTGTGTCTGTCTGTGTGTTTGTTTATGGTCACGGCCTGTGATACTTGTCATTGTAACGGTGGATGGTCACACATCCGTGGTAGGAAATTGGCCGCGGCATGGCTGCCACTCCTGTGATGATGCCTGTTGCTGGGTCGTAACACAGGATGGTGTCTGTGGCTTCGCCATTTTCCCCTCTGCCACCAAGTATGAAGATCTTACCGTTGCACACCGACATGCCACAGCTCTCCTGCAGGGAGAGAGACAGAAATTAGAGGATCGTTGCAGGATCACAGAGTACAAACCCAGGACTCTTGTAGCTGAAGTCTAACAGTCCGGTCGTTAAGTGCTCACTATTTCCATTTGATCTATTACCTGTTTGTTAAAGGTGTGAACCACGTGTATCCAGTAGTCCTCTGCGGGGTCATAGCAGAATATGGACTTGGTGAGACCACCGCACACATAGATCAGGTTGTTGAGGGACACTGCTGTGATACAGCGCTTGGCGATGGGGATGTTGGCTCGCAGTAACCAAGAATTTGTCTCTGGATCATAGCACTGAACCTGTGACACACCCATACACATAGTTAGTTCTGTTTGACTGTGGTAAAAAAAAAAGACATACTCTCTATGTTTCTACAATATATACCATGTGGAGGGGAAATGGTCAGTGAGTAGAAAAAAACTGAAATATATATAGCTCATTCTGTGGTTTTACTGACTGTTCGCTGGGCTGACTCTATGGGGTTTGCATACAACCGAAGCATTCTCTCACATACTTCTCTTTAAAACAGTCTCTTTCCAAACACTTTTATCTGACTACAACGTAAATGACCCTGTTAGGAGACTACAGAGATAAGTAGCTCAAAGGGACTGGAGCCAGCACAAAGTCTAGTCCCTTTAGGCCACATCAACTTATATTGTGAGCCATGCAGTTTGAGAAAGACAGATTGTTAACTTTTATCAGAGTGCCTCTCTGCCTGTGGATGTGTAGTTTCTAGCATGCATAGACACAAACAAACATACCAGCTATTCCATGGGGGAGAAAAAATGTTTGTACCAAAGTTGGATTCCTGCGAATGCCACTTTCTTCCTGTTTACTACCAGCAATGCTACTGTCAGTCAAAACATAATGAAGCTATTCCAGAGTAGCCTGTCGTGGTCTCATCTCTGTAGTTATCTGACCACAGTTTTATACAGTGGCACTGCTGTACAGATGATGATTTATCTAATCCTTAAATTCCTTGTACTTATTGTTGGCCAACATTGACTCATAAATTTTAATCTTGGCATGTCATCGTTATCTTTCACAGTAAGGCTGTTTCCTTCAATGTGAAAAATGACTGTCACTGTCCTCTTATTGAGTAAAAACATTTCAATCACTCGATGTGAAATTAGATCTAAAATACAACATGATTAAAAACTCAACATGGACATAATGATCAGGATATAACTAATGCAGTAAAATTAGCTTAATCAGAATCAACTAAACTGACAGGATATAGCCGTTATCACGTCAGGTTAACTGCCAATCTGTGATGTTTAAAAGGAAAAGAGGCAATTCCTGTTTTTGTACTGTATATCTTGCCAGTTTCCTTTAAAAAACTAAAATGTTTAGTAATCTAATCTGAGTAAATCAAGCATCTTTGTTTTATTAATGACTGTATCTTTCAGGGATTATCCACAGCAGTCAACTAATCTCACTTTGTTTTTTCAATTGCGAGTAGAAAGGTGCAGAAGTACGACCTATTAATGTTTCATCATTCATCTAAAATAAATAATCATGCAGAGCGTGTGTGCTACATCAGACCTGCTCATCCTGTATTAAGGAAAGAAATAGGCCAGAGACATGCTGCCAGAATTTTGCCTCAAAAATGCATAGCTCATGCTTTTTCATTAACACAAACAAAGAACTAAAGCTTGTAATTTTGAAGCCTATTCATGGCCTGATTTAAATATATATGTCTCCTGACACCATCAAGTCAAATTATGGTCGTCTGACTTGTCTACTTTGAAAAAAATGGGCATTTGCATATCCTTTGCACATCCTTGTGTCTCTAAGGTATAATCACTGAATACAGGTATTCTGAGACAAAAGACACCTCATCTGTCATCACTATGTGCTTAAGTGCGTGGTCGGGGGAGCACACATCTGTTTTGCACCTTGTCTGAACAAGTTTCGTCATCCGGTCCTCCCCCAATGACAAAGAGCTTGCCGGCACAGCTGGCCACGGCGGGAGAGCTGACCGCCTCTTTCATTGGAGCCACCTCTGTCCAGCGGTTAGAGAAGGAGTCGTAACACTCCACACTGCTCAGGCGGCTCTGGCCATCATAGCCACCCACAGCATAGACCTGAGGACAGACATACATAAAACATGTTTGGATTAGCTTTTGTGTAGCACATTGAAAGTTTGGGAAATTATGAGTTGTTTTTATGTAATCCTTTCTACATACACTATGAGCACATAAACATCATCAGTCATTATTCAAAATAAGAAAGATGTTTGCATTCAAGCTGACTAGTTCATGAATACAACAGTTTCTACATCAGCCCTTAGAGAACCAGTCTGTCAGGTAGAAAAATGACGTACTGCTTATGAACAACCACCATTATTCCTGTCCTCATCCGTAAACACTGCCCTGAATCCCTGCAGGCACTGGTGCATTTGCGTTCCTGGAACTTCAACATTACTTTCAACTCCATTCATCTGTTAGTGACAACATAAAAATACTACTGTTTTCTCTCTCTGTGTGTGAGTGTCTTTTACAGGTTTTACAGGGACTTTGTCAGCTACTATGATGGTGTCATAACTCATTTTAAGATTCATGCTCCAAATAGTCTTGCAGCAGAACATCCGGTTTTGAATCTGTATTTTCATGTGGTGTCTTCCTAATCTGTTGATTCCCATTATAATGTACAGTTCAAAATGATATTATCAGTCAGCTAGCCACATTTCGGAAAACTATGTTTGTTTTTTTAACTTCCAATCTGGTTGATAGATTTCCATCATATAAACCTTACTGGAAGCTAAAGCATTACAAGCCGCCTTGAGGTTATACATACTACCCTCCTGGAGCGCAAAGAATGGCAAAATCAGAAAAGTCAGGAAAATGAGACATAGATTTAAAGTTGTATTTCCTCAATAACATTCTTTGGAAGGAGATCACGTGTCAGGAATACACAATGAGTTGCATTACTGGTTATAAGCATAACACTGCTCATCAACAGGCTGGTCTTATGCAAGAGAAAACCGTCAGGCTATTCCTGTCTCTCCACAAAATCTATCTGAAGCATAAACAAGTACAGAGGGGGGGGGGGGGTTTGGGGTTCGGGGGGTGTGAGAGAGAGAGAGAGAGAGAGAGAGAGAGAGACAAAGGCACAAAGAAAGATGGAGGGAAAAAAGGCAGAAGTGTATTGGGCACATGGATATTTGCATTCATCACCTGGGCCAATTGATAGAACTACCGCCTTTTTTTAACTGAAAAACTGACACAGGGGAAAACACCTTCATGAACTCGCTGACTTTTTCTCTCACATCTCAGGTGATGGTTCCAGAGTAGTGTTGTCAGTGTGTGTCTACAATCATGTGTTTTCAATGAGAGCAACAGCAACACACCAGTCTTTGCCACATTTGGTGGAGGGCATTCACATAATAGGACTACTCGTGGTAAATGGATCAACTGAAATTTGTTTATTTTAATACTCTTTGTTGATAGAGCTGATAACGAATGTTAAATGTGGGTTGTTTGTTGCCAAACAGAGATGTAAGAGAAATGCAGGAGAGATAAGAGGAGTATGTGGCACAGAGATAAACTACAAAATGAACCTGCTTTGAGAGATTTTTTTAAGCATATTACAAAGTCTATTGATCACTTTTTCCAAGCCAAACAGATTGTTTTGAGACTTTCAATGGGGCTTAATGGAGTGTCTTTTGTGCTAATTAAAAAAAAAAACATGTACAATCAAACTAAGAGCAAAGGGTTTTTTTCTAAAAATAAATGTCCTGTCACTAATAAAACTAGTGGCAGGGAGATCTGTGGATTACCCAGATTTATGTGGACACCAAAGGTTAAAGGAGTAAATACTCTTTTTCATATTTTCGGTGAACTAATCCTTTAATGCTCCTGAGGATATCCAGACACTAGGTTGTTTGAATATAGTGGTATTAGGGAGTGGGGGTTGGGGGTTGGGGGGTGGGGCACTGGATCACTCTTTTCTTTTCGCCCTCACTACTCTGCACTCACTCGATAAAACGCCCCGCATGATTTCGATACACCACATTCCACATTAGCTCGATGATGGGAGCACATACTCTATATCAACTGAAGGTACGTGGCTAACACGCAGTCACCAAGCCTAACATGATTCATGACTCCCTGGGCGACACACTTACTAAGCACTGAAAAAACACATTCATGACTCTATGGCCACTTTCAAACACTCACAGTGGCTGAATGATTAACAGTTTCCTTAACATGTAGAGAAGTGAGAAGTAGTAACTGGTAGAGAAACACAGAGGCTGTGCGACTTCAGGAAGAAAACGATATATGGGAGCATGGAGCGGAAGAGAGAGAAAGAGAGAGAGAGAGTTGGACTGACATAGAGACAAAGGGAGAGAAAGAGAGAGAGAAAGAGTGAAACATTATGATAGACGAGAACAGCCGTCACCAAGTGCAGCCATAACAGGGAGGGGAAAACAAGTGGTGACCTATTTTTGCTTATACTCTATGGAAACAAGACCAGTCCAACAGGACATCACAGAGCTGAGAAGTGTGTATGTGTGTGTGTGTGTGTGTGTGTTCTTGTACTTATATACTTTTGAAAAGCAGCTTTAAAAGTTTAGATTTTGCGCCATGGCTAGGTGCAAAGGAATTAATGTCAGTTAACAAGTATGCTGTAGTAAAACAAATGTAAGCGTTGATGCATACACGCTCATTATACAGACTTGTTTACAACACTTGCTACTGGAGCATCAGTGCTGCACTTCAAAAGGGGAAATTACAGACTGAATGAGGAAATGACTGGGTACAAATTCAGGAGGGGGAACTGAATTCTGAGGAAAATAACATTGCAGATAAATGCTAAAAAGATACTGTATGTTTTTCTTAGATAAGTGGACATATCATTTGGAATGAACCCATAACAAGAAAAATAGGAGGAAAGATCCTCTCTGGCCAATTTGTAAAAAAAAAATAAACAAGAGGAAATTAAATGGGATAAGTACCTGAGACAACAGAGTTCGGAGGAATATTATTCAACAAAGAGGAAAATGTCAGAAGGGGAGGACAGAGAAGACAAAGCCAAATGTGTGACAGATACAGGAAGTAGCTGGATACGAGAGCCTCTCCTCTGTATGTGCATATATATTGTGTTAGGACTATGTACGTGCCATTGCTTTTTGTATACTGTGTGTGATGCCTAGCCTCTTTAACTCCTAAGTTGCAGACCTTGGGGTTATACGAATAGAAATACAACACATGTTAATGGTACAACTGAACAAATACTTCTACGATGCCATCTTATTTTTATCATCAAATGATTTTTGTCTAAGTCAGCAACAGATCATGAAGTTTAAACTCGGTTTCCTAAAGTGTCCTATCATAAAGTTAAATAGCAGCCATATCAGTCCAACTTGTTTTCACCATACCTTGATACATGACTCATTTTGGAGTTAATTACTGACTTTTAAAGCCCCAGCGTGATCTTCCAGCTGATTACCTCACTGTTGTGGAAGACCAGTGTGTAGTTGATTGCCCACATGTGTGTTTGGTGTTTCTGTGACAACAAGGCAACTAAGCATTTTCGGTGTTGTTTGGAAGTCATAGAAAATCCAAGACAGCCTCAAGCAGACCTCTAAAAAAAAGTATGTTTGCTGCAGATGACAGGAACCCCTCCTGAGTCATGCCCTTTCTTACAAAGTAAATAAAGTGCTGCTTTAGCCCAAAGCTTTCCAAGAGCACTTGTACTTGTGTCTATGTTCTTTATGTGTGTATACAAATGTGGGCGCTTATCCATACACATGATGGCTAAAGCACACACATGAATGTTTGTGAGTGGTGTGTTAGCCTTGAGTCATCTCTGGTTACTCTCTGGTTACACTTTGCCTGCTTAAACCAAAACAATCAGTGGCTGCCCCACATTTACGCAACACTAATAACAGATAATAACAGTTCAGACATATTTCATGAGGGACACATGCCATTGCATTACAGGCAGTGAACTTATGTTTTGCATTACGATGGTCTTTACAACTACAAATGCTACAAATGTAAACTCTGTGCAAGTACGACATACCTGACTATCTAGTTTAAGAAGATTTCAAAACACGACACGTGGTTACAAACATTACATAGGCTGGGAATATAGTTATTTAATCTAATGATAGAGTTTCTTTTATTGTAAACAGACTACAGCATTCCAATGGAACATGAACACCCTCATACTGCATATAGTATATCTGCAGAGTAAGCGTGCTTTTTATGCCTGTGTACGCAAATCAACTGTGTTTACAGGCTTATCAGGAGTTTTTATAGCTATGTATGGCCACTCCAGGCTTATGTGATTGAGCAGAGACACATGAAGCCTGATACAGGCTGACATGTCCTTAACTTTGAAGTGTGAGTTGCTGGCACACATCCACTAAACTCCCACTGCCCTCAAACAAGAATGTCCACCTGGCCCTGCACTACACACTGTAAATAGTGCCAGCTCAAGAGTAGAAGCAGTGATCAAAAATAAAAGATCAGCTCACGTGTAGACATTGACTTTACTGAGATTTCGTAACCAAGTTGGTGTCAGCTCTCTGTGTATAGTATATATACTGTATACATATATATATGTATATGTATGGGGGACTGATGCCTAAAGTATCTGACATATGATAGAAACAGTTATGAAAATTTCTACAAGAGAGAAGAAAATTACTAAAAGTGATGGTTGAATTATTTTCCATATGTGGGATACATAACGGGAGAAATCTGCTGGACTGTTCCAGCTGCTGCGATGCTTGTTTATTTGCCGGTTTTAAATAAAGGCAAACTTCCTTGTGCTGTTGTGTATCCAGGATGTGCAAGATGAGCTGGCACCGGTCATTTACAAACCCTGAGGCCACAAACAGATCCACACAAAAATAATATGTCATTCAATATGTCATTCCCTGTCAAAAGGTTCGCTCATAAACCAACATATAAGATCAATACTAAGCAAAAAGCAGGCTGCAATCAAATGGGACTGGAATTCCTTAGTGTGGCCTCTTTTTCTGCTTTTTCTTCTTCTGCTAGATCCTGAATGTCAATATCACTAGGTATGGAAACTCTTTGGTATGTTTAAAAACAAACGTCTGCAGGTAAGAGAGTATGAGTAACAGTGAGATGAGTCATATGATTGTGAAAGGTGTGAATCGAAGGCAGCTTTCCAGCAGGTGATTCCACAGAATTTTGCTTTATACTTTACCTAAATCAAGGTAATAAAGACAATAATGGTGCACTGCATTGGTCTCCTATTCCTTTTAAACATCCCTGACTCCAAACCAAACAATTGCCTCATTGGAAATGTGTAATGCTTATGCGCTTTTTTTTTGTTTTTTTTTTTTTATGGGGGGGGGGAGGGGGGGGGCGGGGGGGGGAAAGCGGGGGGGGGGGGGGGGGGGGGGGGGGGGGGGGGGTGGGGGGGGGGGGGGGGGGGGGGGGGGGGGGGGGGGGGGGGGGGGGGGGGGGGGGGGGGGGGGGGGGGTAGGGAGTTACAACAGAAGGTGTAGCAACAGAGCCATGCATGTACGTAGATTACATGGCTGAACAATGGGTTATACCAGGGCTGCACCACCCAGGTCATGATTGGTCAGTGTGGGCAGTGTCTTCTACATGGCAGAGAATAGTGATAGTGATTCTTGGTAGTAAGATAACATCAAGCAACTTGAAGAAACACTCAGTAATCCCCCTTTCAGACATATTATATGTTCTAGCAAAATCATTTCCACTGGAAGGATGATTACTTCACTTATTTTGATTGTACAGCAGTAGCTTCCTTTGCATTAGGTAGACGAGGCAAACCTTCCCACAAGGACTTTATAGTATGAAGTAAATGATAAACTTTAACAATATAGTGGGGGAATAGTAGAGGGGCCTATAATGTATGACAGTGGTTGCCATAGCTCCTAAAACAGAAGCACTCCCTCCTTACCTTGCCCAGTAAGACACCCATCTTGTGTCTCCAGCGGCCTTTGTTAAGAGAAGCCACTCTGATCCACAGGTTGAGCTGTGAGTTATACATCCACACATCCCTGCTGTTGATGCGACCACCTAAAAAACACCAAAAGACAAACATGCCAGACAAAAGTCAATATTCAAGACTCAAGTGCAGTTTGAGTAGAAGGGGCGGGAGAGTAAATTTAGCAAACAAATCTAGCTGATTAGATATACATGAGAAGTTTAACCTGAGCTGGTCTTGGTGAACAGCCTGCTTTGGATTATGTGTTCAGGTCCAAGTAATCTTTATCTCCTACCTGTGGCAGAAATGTAACTCTTATCTGACTGTGACCTGAGCTGGGTCTCCAGAGTTCACCAAGCAAATAAAACACACACATGCACAGGCGTGTATGTATGTATGTATGTATGTATGTATGTATGTCTAGGTGTTGAATAACCATCAACCATCATCATTTAAAGCATAATCAGGATCTTTGTTGGCTAAAAGAGCTACAATATCTACTGCTACATAATGACTGAGTGCCTCATCTGTTGGCTCTGGAAAAACCTGTTGTAGAGAAAAACAACAGTTGATCTACCAGGTTACATTGTGACCCAGACACATTTTAAGAAGCCCTGACACGTGCCCCCACTCTCTCAGTAACCCACCCCAACACCAACACACCTGTCTGTTGATTCAGTACAGACTGGAGGAAAAACAAAACCAACCTTCTGGAAATACAGTGAGTAGCAAAGGCTAACTTTTTTTAAGCATAAGGCTTAAGATGTGATAAAATGCAGGTCAACTGGAAAAAGGTGTTGACAGTTAAGCTGAAGAAGAAACATCCTATCTAAAAGTCATTGGAAAAACAAGTTTATCACTGCAGGGCTCTTAAAACCGGCAGCAGTTACCTGCTGGATTTTATCCAACAATATGTTCAGAAGATTGTGGAGCATGTGTGTAGCATGGATACCAACAAACAGAAAGATCAGTGACAATCTGTGTTATTTCACACCAGGACTTAAATTGATCCCACAGGGGTGATATCAGTTAATAAAATACAGATCATTAATGAAAATTAATTTAAAAACTCCTGCCTTCAAATCACACCTCTCCCTTTAAAACTTGATGCCCTTAAGAGAAGAGCAGTTTCTTACTTAACAACAGGTAATGTGCTGAAACTAAACACATGTGGGTGGTTCTATTGAGCAATGATAAAGGCATAAAGAAAACATGTGACTGTAAACAAAGGTGCATTCACATGCAAACAAAGCAGAAGTTTTCCGTATTGTAAGATAGTTGACGGTCAGACTACATAGGTGAGGATGGATATTAAAAAAAATATCACCTTGATCATTCACCTTATTAAATAAATAAAAGTGGCTATTCATGTCTACCTCCTCTGTTTTTTGTTTTGGACGTAAAACATGGTAATAAATCTTCAGTCATCTTAAATTATACTGCCAGACACAGACAAAAGGAGACAAGAGGAGGAAGTGTCTGCTCAATAATCTCCTGGATAGTGAAAAAGCCTGACTGTCTGCTGCCCCGGAGGCTTCTGTTTTTAAAGATTTGCATGACGGAAAATGCATTTAGTGGAGGATGTACCACTTATGACAAACCTAGGTATCTAGTTAAAAGACGCTTTTGGTCACCAAAACCTTCAAGGGGAGGACCACTGCTGCTAATAACTGGTGTTAAGGAACATGAGACATTGACTTTGGGAGGTCCCAGTATGATTTGTGTGACAGCTTTCTGAGAGTTGTCAGTTTTATTGCTAATGCTGATGATCTACTTCCATATGTTAGAGAATTCCTTTTGTTCAGTGAGATGTCAGACTACTTATGACTATGACCCCCACTGTAATGTGCGACACATGTGTTTTACTAGTCACTAGTTGATAACACATTATTCAATCATATCTAATCTCTGACAGTGACAGTAACGAAGAGGTATGTATCTCCTCTTGCCACACGAAACCGTACATAAGTCGTCTTGTGAGATTAGATCATAACCGACTGTAATCTGAAGTACTCCTGAATTCAATGCATTTCTGTGTTAATTCCCACTCTGGATCGGACAAAGTGGTTCATTACAATACAATGAATGTGAGAGAGTCAGAAGTGTCCAGAGTCCCTGTCCCAGCACAGACAGACCTACAAGATTTTGTATACCCAGTAGAGCCATATCCTATTTAAGACCACAGCTAACTGCAGCTGTGCTAGACGCTGGAGGACCTCCAAGGTATTTGCACCAGTTCCCACTGTGAGGAGAGAGGCAGACAGACAGAACAGGAGGCATGTGTGGGAATTTAATCAAGAGAGTGCAAGGTAAAAAAAAAAAAGTTGAGAAAAGGGGGATTAAATGTATCAATGCAGACAGGGTGAAAAAGAAGGAAAATGGGCCAATGAAGATCATAACATGCAATAAAGCAGTAGCGTGTGTAGTGTATGTGTGTGAGTCGGAGAGACGTGGAGGGAGGGGTATGTTGACTTTTCCAGGCAGTGCTAGAGGGTAGATAGATAGCACACGTGAGGACTTGGCACAGTGAGATCGTGAAAAAAAAAAGAAGCATAAACACTGCACAGTCTTTGCTGAAGGGAAGAACTTCTTTTCTCTCTATATTTCCTTCTTCATTTTTTTTTCTTCTCTATATCTCCCAGCTCCTGTTGTTATCCAGTCATGTCTTGTGGCTGACATAAAGCATGTTTGAGCATGAGAAGTCATAGCAGGCACTTTTAAACTTTTTCTTGGAAATAATTCCTCTCCTCCTCCAAGAAAAAAAAAAAAGAAGAAGAAGAAAACAGAAGAAAGAAAAACCCTTCACCTCCATTCCCTCGATCCAGCAACCGTACAAAACTGTATCTTGTACACAGCACATATTCAAATCAAAGTGTGACTTGGCAACTACCTTTACTCTGACCTCATGAGTTAAAATGAATGACGTAATAATAATGTCTTGTTCAATTTAGGTCTTTGTTCCACCAAAGTGGGGTTACACAACACTTGGCCCATGCTAAGCTCCAAAAACGCATCAGCTTTGCCAGGAGCCCATGACACCTATAATATCTCAGCTTTAGGTTTATTTTAAACTTAAACAACCTATTGGAGTAGTCTAAAACTGAAAAGGATTATTCGATCTTTGTCTAGAGGGGATCCTAGAAAGCGGCTGAACAGATGTGAAAGGCAGTGACCCTGATGATTGGCCAATAGGAAGAGGAAAGGAGTGAGCGAGCCAATGAAGGTCGCTCTCAGCAGTGAGCTTGGAGAGTGCATCCAGATGTTGCGCTCATATTTTCCTTCAACTCAAACTCAAACAGGCTGAGGCTGTAAAAATAACACAGGGCAAACAGCCGCCGTGGCCTTTCCTGCCACTCCACTGGGAGATTAGATGGCAAGTAAAGCAAAGACACACACTGACCATGTCCCTTAAGTGAATTGTTGTTTCTGGGTATGACACAATCCTACGATAATTAAGAAAAACTGGACTTAAAAACAACCAAGTATATCCTGAGTCTAACCCCAGAATAAATAGATGTGTAGTATTGGTACAGGATTTGAATTGCCTTTTGGATCCATAGCCATTTTATGGCTATTAAGATTTAAAGTTACCAGCCATTCTGAATTTCCAATAGCCAAAATGTTTCTTGAAATAGAAAAAAATATGAGAAAAACATAAAAGTCTTGTGTTTATTTCAAGCTTTGATTGTACCATGCTATTGAATTGTTAATAACAAACGTAGCAGGGTCTTACCTGACACCAGAATGTCATTGCGGAGGGCACAGACGGCATACTCTGACTTGGTGAACTCAGGCAGTTTGGCTAGTGACTTCCACTCTCCTGTGACTGGATCATAGCATTCAGTGTAGGGCAAGTTGAAGCCCCCAACCCTCTCACAGCCACCGACCACCACAATCACCTCAGAGTAGCCAGTTGACCTTTACAGAGGAATTTGGGGGAAGAAAGGATAGAGGGAGAGACATGGAAATGGAGGGGGATGAAGCACAAACACAAATTAAAGGCTCACTTACAAGAATGTACAGACATGGTATCTAATTAAAATACTGTGTATACGTAGGCCTATACAAAGGGTATGAAGACATAAACATACACATGTTATCACTTGGAGAGATTTCTAATTACAGACGGTAGAAATTTGTGCCAGGGCATGAACAGAGTGGTGGTTTCCACCGAAGTCAGTAGCTTCACTTATCTTCAAGGCAAAGTTCAGGTTACAATGAAGGTATCAATCAAGGGTACAACAAAAACAGACTTGGGAGTTCAATTTCCATGATCACAATGCTTTCCTATTTGGGTGTTTAACACATGCCAAGAATATGACCACATTTCCTACAGGGGAGTTAATTAACAGCAGCTTTTTTTCTTATTGCACCATTCTAAAACACTGACACCAGACAGGGACTACTAGGTGTTAATCTGTATAAAAAAATACTAGTGTATATATACAGTATGTCAGTGTGCAAATGTGGCACAAAAGTTTCCTTGCACTTTTCCCTACATTTCTCTGTCTGTTTACTCTGCACATGATAGAGTATAGGTCAGGCCCAGGTAACAGATTTGGGTTGTTGTTTCTTTATGTGTGTGTGTGCATGCGATGTGTGTGCATGTGATTAATTACATTCTAGAGGCTTCCCAGGAGAAGAAAGGCCCCGGTGTAGACACAGAAAGGGGAAAATCTGGCATCTGTTTTGAGCAGGAGAGGATTTGGCCCTCAGGGCAAACGAAGCCGATGGTGCGGGAACTAACTGCCTGATTGGCTTCCTGATCTGAACAGATCTGCCTGGATACTCACACAATACACCTGAACTACACGTCACACAACCTCAATAACTGACAACTGGCACTGTTCCCACTTTAACCGTTGCAGCTGGTCTAACACATAAAGGCAGCTGCACTGTGTTTGGTCTATTTTTTAAAAAAAATCTCATTCATAAGGTTTCAGTCAGTACTCACCTTTATCCTTTATCAAACATTACATTGTAACATCCAACTGGACACTTTTCAAAACACAAAAACACCATGGTAAATAAGTGTCAAGTGAACAGGTGGGGACACTTAGAAGCCAAACATATCAGCAAGGTGAGTTATACTGCTGGTATGATAACAAGACTCAACATTTCATGATTGCCATTTCTTGCATCACCTCTTTTTTTTTTTTCTTCCCAGCTAACCAGTCTGTGTACGAACATGCCCTGCCTCCTTCATTATCATTTCCATTTCAAAATAGGGCTACAAAATACAGCTCCGTCAATGACACATTTGTCTGTTCAGCACAATAACACTCCCTGTCTCTCTCTCTCACACACACACACACGCACACACACACACATAACAACAACAACACAGCTAGGAGCACAGAGTTCATGTGCAAGCTGTAACCTCTTGCTATACAACGTGGGATGAAACATCAACTAACTGTTTAAAGAAGACATGTTTTCTTACCTCGCTCTAACCTAAATGTTTCAACCCGACAAGACAAAAAAATGTGTCAGAAAAAAGATCAAACAAAATTTGTTTTCTTTTTCAATAAAAAAAATAGCTGGTGCACAACAAAGCAGAGATAAGCCTGTACTAGAGTGATAAAAGTAAGGACCTTTTAGCTTCCTTCTGGAGATAATATCTGGGTTAGCTGATCTTCCCTCTGCCTGCCTCATAGCTGATAAGTCAATATTTTAGTTACCTGCGTGGACGAGTTCTGGGTGACATCATTTCATTTCCTAGTACGTGGTAGCGCCTGGCCTCGTGGAGAAGCTGGTAGCACTCTGGAGCATTCTGGATGAGCTGGTCTCCCTCCACTGTCTGGACAAAGTAGTTGGGGTGCAGAAGAGGCAGGCGCACATGGTGCAGCAGGGCCTTCAGCATGGGCTTCCTGTGCTCCATGATATGGTACACCCATCTCATCACCGCCTCAAACACCACCTCCTCCTTGCCGATGGACAGCTCATCACTGCCAATGTACTCTTCCAGCTCCTCTCTACGCAGGTCGAGGAACTCCTCATGCTGAGCCACCTCTGAGAAGTTGGCCAGGGCGTAACTGCGGCAGCGGCTGGCGAGCTGCTTCAGGGCATGGGCATCTGCGAATCGCTGGATGCCCAGGCAGTTGCATGGGTCCAGCTGGTCCTCCAGGAACTTTGCACAGGCGTCACGCAGTGTGGTGATCTGGAAGAGGCTGGAGGTCTCAAAGAGGAACTGGACATTCTCGGTGGTGATCTTGGCGCGGCCGGTGTAAACATAGGTGAGGAAGGAGTCCATCGCCTCAGCCAGGATGCCATTGATCTCCACCAGCATCTCACGGCTCTCGCGGTGATCGTTGCAGAACATGGCTCTGAAATAGGAAGAGCATGCAGAGAGCACAGCGCGATGGCAGGGGAACTCGCGGCCCTGCACACTGATGACCACATCAGTGAAGAGGCGGCAGTCACGAAACTCATTGAACACCTGCAGGATTCCCTCTGAGTGGGATGAGCCAGAACAGAAGTCCAAGACATCCTGGCTGGATAAAGTTTTGGAGTCAACCTCAAACACCTTAGGAAACAATAACATGCATAAAGATTTGTAAAATGTGTGATTTAAATGAGCTGAAACAAAAGCTGCACATTAAGAAACATAGCTAATGTCTGTTTGTCTGTTTCACATCACCTTGCGTTTAACAGCTGGTGAGTCTCTGATCCCAGAGTCCTCCCTGTTCATCCTTCTGCCCAAAATCAACACCATGGCTGCCACCTTCAATGTAGACCTTCTCTTAACTTTAAGATGACCTGAGGATAGAGAGCAGGTAGTACAGTGCTATTAAAATAAAAAATATTGCTAGATGCTAATACAATGGCATCCTATCAGATGTGGTAGGAGGGGATAGCATGAAAAAGAGTACAAATTCATAAACAGAAACCTAATTAGACCACTGTAGTACAAATTGAGAACATTCATTGCACAAAAACAAAGCTCTCACTCAGCAAAGCCACAAAGCATGTGCACAGACATTGGGGAAAACATGCGAGTCCCACAAACAATTTTCTAAAGCCCACGGGGCATTGCTAAAATGTCTAAGAAAAGTAGTTCCAAGTAATGAAATCTGAGCTGCACACACTTCCTCTAGCTCATCACTGCTGTGAAACAGTTGTGCCCTGCGGAACAATGGGGCCGCACGAGACGGAGGATGACGAGGAGACACAGGCAGGAGAGAGGTTGAGCAACAGTTGGAGGGCTGACATACATGTGTGTCAGGTTTGTTTTGAAAGAGAGTGGGGGCAGGTTTGCTATCAGACACTACATAATCATTGTTGGAATAAAAAGTGCGAAGTCAGGGCTACTGATAACATTGAGTCATATTAATTCTGTAATCTTAAGACATTTGCTTACAGCAATCAACCAAGGTACCTCATGAATTAGGCTTTGTTCACATCCACAGAGCCTGCGTGTTTATCCAGGACATCCCGTTCTCAGGTTCTTGAAGACATTTGATCAAAACATGAATAACTCTTATCTATGGCCACATACTGCCTCTGTTAAAGTTGGCAGCAGATCTGGCCTTTGCTCCTGTGAGGTCATTCATCTCAGGTTATTTATAACTTCAGATTTTGGCTCAGTCTCAGCAGACTCTGCCTGTTCACGTGCGCTATTTGAAAGCAGCAGCAGCACCTCCTTTAAGTCATGTTAAATAGAAGACAGGTTTAGCCAGAGGTGTCTCATGCATTAGAGATTTGCTTTGTGAATAATAACCACTGAGAAAGAACAATACAAATGACAACAAATGAAATAAAGCTGTATTTTATTGTGCTATGTTTGAACGTTCTAATTGTTTGTTGTTATCCAGTTGAAATAAAGTTAAATTGAAATTCAGGTCAGAGAGTCAGAGTCTTATGACAAATGACACCATTATTTATTAGTTTTTGCTTAAAAAAAAAAAAGAAAGAAGAATACTAGTGATGAAATATGAAATTGCATCACATTATGTAAGTATTAATTAAAGACAATCAAGTAAAATGTATGTAAGGTCAGGTGAATATATAGGCAGAAAACCCTACGAGCTTCGGTTTATTAGACAAAGGAGACTTGCCTCATGCCGACCGTTAGCCCCTGACAACATGCTAAAAAAAACCGAGTGGCTGAGTCGTTGCTTTACTCAATATACTTTGACAAACTCAAACGGAGAGCTAGAAATAACTGTAAATTCATAACAAACGGACGTTAACAACATCCTTTGTTATCGATAAAAGTCGTTACCTTATGCAGAAGTTTCCAGATGAAGCGTCCTCTTCAGTTTCAAGTGAAGGGGGGAAAAAAACAAACAAAAAAAAAGTATGGAGAAAGATAAATTTGTATCCTGAAAAAGTTTATCAATATCTTTTACAATATTTGCTCTCGATTGGTTATGAGAAAGAAGCTAGGCTGTTATACAGCCGGGACATTTTGACTTTAAGGTGATGACAAAAACAAAGATCTCTAACTACATAACTGTAAACACAGGACCCATATATACTTGTCAGGAAAAAAAATAAAAGCCAGCCCACTGCGCCCACTCAGCTGGTGCTTTCGGTGCATTATGGGTAATAGCGTTCAATTAAAGGGTTTGTCTCTTACTTTCTGCTCCATGAGAAACAACACTTCCCAGGTGCCTCTAGTTCTCCACGTGGCTGTCCTTTGTTTGCAAACAAACTCAACTTTTAGCGGAGAAAAAGTTCGTAACAACAAGTGACAGCGGTTGAGCAATACAGCAAAACAATACCAGTTTAATAGCCTAACTTGTGTGAACGTGTAGAAGACAGTTAATGGGACAGTATTACATTGTATTAAACGGTGGGAAAACGTTATTGAATTCAATATAAAATACTAGTCCTCGGAACGTGTTTTTACATAGTTGTTATATAGTATTTATCAATACAATGGAATACACAAACACAAAACGCATACTGTAGGTAAGGTAAGGTACTGTAAGGTATATGAGCTAAACAAACAGATACAACTGTAATGTGATACCACGTGCACGTGAAAACAGGATGAAAGGCACTGTGCAACGCTTTTTTCAGGTGAGGAGGAAGGAGGAGCTCAGTTAGAACAAAGCATGTCACAACTTCCTTACCCTGTTGCAAAATATTTCTTAGAGCTCCCAACTGAGTTCCCTGAAAGAGTCTACGATGCTCATCAATGACCCATTATACACTGTTTTGAACCATGTGTTACTAGTACAGAGGATAATCTTTTCACACTCTTCATCATACTGTCACTGAAAGTTACACAATGTTCAAAATGTAAAAAAACATCCACATACATCATCATGACCTACAGCACATGAGGAGAGATAATCAGTCTGATAAGCTGTCTTTGGATCGTCCTTTAGATGCAGAACGGGACCAGTCATGGGTCTCTGTCTCTGGAGTCATACAGGTACAGTGAGGGGACTTTTGTTACCACCACCACTGGTCACACACACTAACTAGGACTTCCACACACTGGACAACACATCAGCAGCTCAACAACCAAAATGAGGAAATGGAAGAAATGGGTAGAAGTGAGGAACAGGTGAGAATACTGCAAAAGGCCTCCAGGCATCTGCACCTGTACAAGTTCACCAGAACAACCATCAGACCAGAAAGGATGACAAGAAAGATTAGCAAAGTAAGCTACACAGCCAAGAGCTAAGATTTTCATGGAAAGCAGGTAAATCAGTCAGATTCTTATTGTTGTTGTTGTTGTAGAGCCATTGGTACAAAAATGGCACACTTCGACTTCACCTGCAGATGCAGAGAGTGAGCAGAGGGTTAGGGCATATTTGTGGGGAGAAAGGCAACACTGCTGCAGGAAGGAGCAGTCACAGCAGCCCAGCGGACAGACAAATGTGTCCCTCTACTGTTGAGCTGTTGTACCTGTTACAGACAGCACACAGCAGAGGCAGGAATGACTCACCATGATTATCCACCACACCTTCCTGAGTGAGGGAAGGTGCTCCTTCCTTTGGGGCCTTAAACTGTCAAGTCAATCGACCATTTGTTAATGATGGACCTTCACTTTTAGACAAACAAGGGTTTGAAGGCAAATGGAGTTAAGCGCTTTGTTCCTACAGTCATAAAACTGAGGCTGAGTGTCTGATAGTTTTTATGTAGCTTTTACATTACATAATGATGATAGAATAAGAATACCAATACAAATTTGGCTCGTATATTAAAAAAAAAATATATATTCTAGATTTAATGATCCCTCAATAATGAGACATAAACTTAGGAAACAAGGGATTTCAGCTTATTTTCTTATTTTTGTTTGGATGAACACTGCAATAAAAAGAGGTATCATCGCAGGTAAAGAAATAAACAGAAAGATTCATAATTTGAGAAAATTAATGCCTTAAAAAGTTGAATTGCTAATTTACATATAACAGTAGCCATTGTGCGTTAACAACATGATATAAAACATGGACAAGGCAGTATCTAGGGTTAACATGTAGTATTTTAAATTTGACTGCTGTAGAAAAAGATTTTAAAAAAGATGAAACAAAGGGATTTTAGTGTGAGATCCTTGGCATTGTGGAGTTTTGAAACACCATTTAGACAAACAAATTTACAAACAATATATTTTAAATTTATATAGAAAATGTGAAAAAATACTTTTATATATCATCTACAGACTTTTTGGTGGTTAGTCAAAAAACAAATATTGGTGGGTGGTGGGATTGCTCTGAAGGTTATGCCCTTCAAGTTCCATCTTTGTTTGTTGGATTGCTACTTTGAAGACATGTGGAAGTATGTATATCCCAAGTAAAACCATTAGGGAAATGCATTAAGTATGAGTAATAGACAGGTCTGATGAGATATTTATGATACTGTGGTTAGGCCGAGTCTCCTGTGTCGATGCAGCAGCTGCATTAGAGTATCAGAGATCTCCCTGTACCTCAGCCCATAGAGGTAAGGAGCAAACGCTCTGGGCAGCAACATAAATACACACATATTGACTGTGCTGATCCATACACGAACATCTTGACTTATGTCTTTCCTCTGAAACAGGAAGAGCTCCAGGGTGAAAACAAAGCCAGGGGCAAAGTAGAGCAGGAGCAGAATCCCATGGGCCAGCAGGGTGACCCGGGCCCTGGAGAAGCGGTTCTGCCAGATGCCCTGTGTCCTTGTTACGATGTAGAGCCGAATATAGCAGTAAAAAATGAGTAGAGCACAGATGAGGGCAGCTACAAAGAAGTAGATGTGGATACCCATCACGTTCTGGACCTGAATGAAGCCGAGTGAGATGAGGACCAGACAGACGGGCACCTTTTCATTGGGATTTCCCCTCTCCACCTCCATCATGATCACCAGGGTGAAAGGGTACACGGCTGCCAGCACCCACACGCCCAGCAGTATGCGGTGGGTGCGGGCAGGTGGAAGGATTTCGTGGTAGTGGAGAGGCCAGCGGACAGCAGCGTAGGTGTCGACCACCATGAGGGTGACGGTGAGGATGGCACAGCAGTAGGCGGTTATAGTGACAGCTGTGACCAGCTCACAGACGAGCCAGGGAATCTGAGCTCTCACTGCGTTACAGATCACCGTGGCCAGGTTGAGGATGAGGAAGAGCATGTCTGCTGTCAGGGTGTTGGCCACCAGCAGGTAACGTGTCTCCTGTCGCAAGGCGCGGGACAGAAAGATGCATGTCAGGAGGACGGGGTTGGCGAATAAGGTGGCCAGGGTGACGACTATGGTAGGGATGAAAAAAAATTCGAGGTGCCACCTCCGCAGACTCTCAACCCACTCCTGTGTGAGGTTTGTAATTTGTAACGTGGACGTCATTTTGTGTTTGAGTTATGGAGGAGACACAGACGCACTGAGTGAGGTGTGTTTTATGATGTATTAACTACTTCTCCCAGCAGCTCCCTGTGGATGAAAACACCATAAATTCATATTAATAATAAGACTGGAGCAACTAATATATGATTTTTATTGAAGCCCTCTTCACAGTTTTGCTACTTTTAGGTACACTATGGGGCTCTTTGATAAGATAACTATAATAAAGCTATAATTGATTGAACATTGGTATCAACATGAGGAAGAATAACAGCAGTAACTACAATGAGTTATGGTCTTTAAACAATCACTAGGTGTTCTCATATCCATCATCTTGATGCATCGCAGGCCAGGCGAACCTGTAACATTTTTCATGCAATTTCAGCTGATTCCATTTTATCTATAATTACATTCATATGAGTTTGTTATTGCTCCTTTTACAGTAATTTATAACCCATTCTGAATTGGTTTAGTCTAGATCATTATTCAAATGAGAAGCAAGACCCTTCCTAAAATTCAAATATGAGCAGCACACAGTAGTGGACTCTGCCCCTTCAGTTTCAAATACTATATGCTATACTGCAAATGAAAACAAATGCAAATGAAGATGCTGAAGTTGTAAATGATTAGCTTCATGTTGAAACACATTAGAAAATATACATTTAACATAGTGCATAAAAAATATTACACCTGTTGTGTGGATGAAACCATATTGTGAATTGTAATAATAAATTTACCCACACTTTCAGGTAGGGCATCAGAATTTAAATACATAAAATCCTTACGATTACTCACAAACTTGAGACAAAAAAAGAAAATCACTTTGTTATTTAAACTTTGCGCAGACACATCTATTGACAGATTATTGATTGGCCAAAGGTGAGTTTTCTTACCTGATGTCCAGAACAGAAAAAGCTCTGTGTTGCACATCCATTAGGCTTAACGCTCCTATAAATCGATGGGTGTTTTGTATGACTTGTCTCAACCACTGGCCTTATCTGATGCACTCTTTGTTGACTCATACAGATAGACCAGTATATGGATGGGGAAAGCTGCAGCCACTTGGCTGTAACATAGTAACAGGGAGGGGCTTTTCATCCTCTTAACTGCTCCTCGTCCTGTTCCTTCTTCAATGTTTTCTACCCAAGATGTTTTAATCAAATTTTGTTGAGGGAACCAATTTGAACACCATCTAGATTAAATTGATTAGATTCACATTGCTCTCTTAATTTTAATGTGCCAAGCATCACAGCACTTAAGCCTCTGAAATTGCTTTAACTTATGGGTCACTTAATGAACGTCCAAAATCTTCTGATGGTGGAAAGAATGTATAGGAGAATTTTTAACCACGGTCATACCTCATTCATAGTCGTCATCGTCTAACCTCACATTGACATCACTGCATCTCACGTCTGTGTGTGGCCACTTAAATAAACACCAAAGTCAACTCCAAACCAGAGGGTTGACTTAATCCGGTCTGTTGCTTGCATGGGAACAATCAAACGAGAACACGTCAGGTAACAATTACCACAATATTATGTTTCTGCGTGTTTTAGATAAGAATATTCTAGAGCACTTGAACAGTTAAAAGTAAACATTTTATTGTTTCAATTACCATCAGACATGTAATCACATAATTTTCTGTTGAAATCATTTTCAATTCTCTCAGTCCCTACCCAACTGTCATTTCTTTCTTCTCTTCCTGTATCCAGCCTTGCCTCCAGTCTCCTCATCTTCTTCATCCTCCTCTTCTCCCTCATAATCATCACTATCAGCTTCAATGATGCCATACTCCTGTCCCTGCCATTCTCTTGCTATAAGTCTCTGAAAGACTTCATACTCCTCTGGTGACGCCTTTGCAACCGCTGTGAGGAAAGTGTCCTGGTTAGCACTGAGGATGCTGTCCAGTATAGGGTTGGCGATGGTCGTCTGTCCTTTCTTGTCTGGGGTTTGGTACAGACCCCTGCGCTCCAGAAAACAGTGTCGACAGCGAACATCCTCTAGAGTGAAACGGAACAACCTGGACTTCACCATCTCTGCCTGCTTGACACCCATTCGAAAGTAGACGTACTGTGGAAACATGGATAAATAATATATACTATTACAACTGACATTTTAGAGCTACAATAAAGCTGGATATAATACAGATCAGATCAAAGGCTAAATGGGAGGTTCCATTCTGGAGAAACCTCAAAGTCATACACTTGCTAACAAAATACTGTAATCTGTTCACAACCACTGATGCCTCTTGGCTGTGGAGTTCACATATAGCCACCAGAGGGAGCACTACAGTCGTTCACTGTTTCCATACACATTCTAAACAGGTTCTGAGAATGCAGTGTGCTCACACTGGGGAAAAAAAACACAAGTCTGTATGCAGTCTAAAAAGCACTTGATTCCGGCATGTAATGCAATACTGCAAGGCAGTGGAGGCAGCTGAAACCAAATTGTGGATGGTGGTAGTATTGTATAATTTCCTGTTAGAGAAAAACAATAACATTTGATGTACCGAAAAAAAAAAAAAAATGAAATGAAAATTCCTTGAACCTGGGACCGAGCCTATGTGACCAGAAAGCCCTCTGCAAGGGTGTTTTTACAACCACTGTGGTGGTTGTAAAAGACAACATGGCCTTGGTTTGAGGAAGCCAATAAATCTGCATATGTTAACATGACAAAAGCACTTTACCATGGGAACTGTGTCCTGGCCTAGAACTAAAAATTTAATTAATTATCAGAAATTAACATGTTTTTTTGTTATTCATGGTTTAAGCATTTATTGTTTAAAATGTTATGAAAAATGCCCAACAGAAAAAATGAAAAATCATCATATTTGTTTGTTATTAATTTGTTTCATAGATGACTAAAACAATTATCAGAATTATTCCATTGATCTATTAATTGATTAATCAACATTTTTGCTTCAGCACTGTCCCAATCCTTTCATGTTTGGTTTACTTGCTGACCTGAAACTTGTACTCCAGCTGACCCAGATCCTCCAGTACTATGGCTGGACTGTCTCTGAGGATGTCTGTAACCTGCTGGACAGTAAACAAGCACTTCTCTCTGAGAAACACCACCACTGTCTTTACTGTCTTCATGGGCACAGTCAGGATCTGGGGGTAATAGGCCACCACTCTCTGAAGACTGCCTATGGGGAGAGATAAGGTTAAAATAATGCCTTAATATTTGGGTCATCCAGTACATATTCAGTACTCTGGGCATGAACTGCTTTGACCTAAGGAAATACCTCAACAATGTTGGAATAAACTGTGCTGCAGGAAAATGATGATCTCACCTTCAACTAAACCCAGTTTCCGCAGGTTTTCTATGCGCTGTTGAAGCTGTGATTCCTTGACAGTGTAGAGTTGAGGACATTTCTGCAGCAGCTTCAACACACTGGATGGACTGAGTCCCAAGACAAACAGAGCTGCGAGAGTTGACAGAGCATGTTTAGCAGTACTTCCACCTCTGACTTTGCACACAGCCTCATATATCTGCTCTGCCTGGGTGTCTGTGAATCCCATATCGACCAAAGATTGCAGTGACAGCTCTGTGGCTGGCTTCTCAGACACATGGTTAAGTTTATAGTTGTGTTGCGGTGACTGCCGAGTACTCCGACTGTTGGAGGAACAGAACAATCCGCAACCGACGCATTCAGGCTGGAGGTGGCATCTCCCCAAATGAAGTGGGCTGAGCGGAGAGGAGGCGGCAGTCCTCACAGTCCACCGGAGAACCTGTAGAAAAGAAACACATTTAACACATTGTCAGTGGTCCACGATTTAACTCCTATTGATGAAATATGCTGAACACTCAGATCAGGACAAAGGTCACTGGGATGCAAAGCAATTACAGAGGAGAGGTTAACAGAAGAGAGTTGCGACCTTAGCTGTACATCCGTTAGCTCAAGTTAGCAAACATTAAGGTTATAGCGGACGTTAATCGGCTGTAAGGCAAATTCTGACAGTCGTTTCAACAAAATCTTTGAAGTATGCGACTCATTACGATTAACTAACACGTTTAGTGTCTGAATGTTGAATAAGAAAGATATTTTCTGGCTTTCTGGTTCACCTGACGCGCTGCCACGGCGATTCCCATGCTTGTCCGTCGCACTTATAGTTCCGTCCCCTCAGCTTTAACGAAGGGAATAGAGGACATAGGTTCCGCTCCAGTCAAATGTTTTTATAGCCTTATAGCCTAGGTGTCTTCACTGCAGTCATTTTTTTTTTATAGAGAAACACTTTATAATATATAAAAACACTACAAACAGTGTACACTGCCAGGCTGGAATTAAAAGGTAATATTCAGGCGGCCTGTTTTTTCAAATAAGACTGTTTAGGTGATTTACTTTAGTTAATGCAGATAATTCGTTATGAAATAACTTACCTATTGAATATTTCTATATATGAAAATAACTGCAATTCATGTGTTAAAATGACAGCTCATGCTGTTAAGTGTTTTCACTTATGTTGATATTGGGTATAGGTATCGGCAAGCTTACTTGCTTAGCTTACAAATAAAATCTGATGAAAAATGAAAATGAAGTTATTTGTGTCAGCTGATTTGAAAGACAATGTAAAAAAGTGCTGCTTATTGGCTGCATAAACGTTTTAAAATTCAAATATACTCACAATGTTTGCATGACAACTTTACAGTCAATTCCTCAATAATAACTTGGAAAATATAAAAAGAGCAAGTTTGTGCTAAAATATTTATTGATGTATAAAAATAAATAGATAAAATATTGTAAATATACTTACAATTTTTAATCAAACTATTTGAGATTAAAATCATGAACAGAAAACATGTAAACAGGAAAAGATTTATCTTTGTGAATCAACCAGTTTTCTGTGTGGTTTCTCTGAGGTAAACAACTCATGGCTGTGGTCACCTGTGGATTTTGGTGGCAACGCTGGATCCCTATAAATGATTACTATGATTTTGATCGTTCAAATATTTCCTAAATGTAAAGAATAAATAAAATAGATTAAATAAAAAGGAAAACTGCTAGTATCTTCATGATGATGTTTTTGCATTCTTGGGTAGCACTCTGATATCACAAATACTCTATTTCCACGAGTACCCAACAGCTTGGCAATGATGCTCATTACACTTGGTAGCAAACTGTGTATACTTCATAAAGCAAAAGGTACATTTGTCTGTTATGATAATGGCCTTGGACTAAAACAAATATCCCTTTTCTTATTTTGCATTTCATGTCCTCTTTGCACTGTTGCAGATAAAATGTTTTCATCATTCCCTTTAATTCAGTCTTTAGTCCTCATGGAGGTACTTCTGGAGCTCAGTCTCCAGGGCCACCATTGACAACCTCTCATCCTCATCTTCCTCCTCCTCCTCATCACTAGGCAGAGTCTCATCACCATGATCTGGGAATAAGCCTTGCCTATTGTAAACTTTAGGACTGGCCTCTTGGAGCTGTGGTGAGCCTGTTGAAAGAAGAGAGAATCCTGAGTACATGAGCTCTCCTGTGTCATTGCCATTTATTTTGCAGCGGGCTATGCAAATTTTAAAAACTCAAAATTCAAAACCCATTTCAATAATAGCCATTTATAATGACCAAGAAGCTAGTTACAACAGAATGGAAAACTTTAAACTTTGCCAAAAAATGAAAGAATAAAATGTAAAAAAGAAAAAAAAAATTCCATTGCCGCAGATGTCGCAGGTGGAACCTCATCACATTTGAAGCAGAAAACATGGTTGGCCACAGTCTGTCTAGCTGTAAAGAGTACTCACAATAGCTCTGAGTTGAAGGAACCACCTCTGCCCAGCTGTACTCTGCCAGGGAAATTGGCTGGCTGATCCAGGACTGCAGCAGCAGTTGGTCCAGAGTCATTCTCTGAGCAGGATCATGGTGTAGCAGCCCATGTAACACACCACTGAGCTCTGAGAGAGTACATAGAGGAACTTCAGTAGATTTTCTGAGACAGCCAGTGATAAAGTGAAATAAACCTATTTTCATCCTACAGCAAAGAACAGCAGGATAGATACCTGGAGAGAGGGGGGACGGGGGCTTGAGTTTGGCACCCAGGATCTCACCCACATCACAGAAGGGGTTCTCACTGAATAGCAGAGTGTAGAGCAAAACCCCCAGAGACCACATCTCCAGCTCTGGACCCTCATAGCTAAAAAAAAAAAAAAAAAGTATGGAAAACATGCCAGCATTTTATTCATCAGTGAGTATGACTAACTTTACAATGGCCATATCCTTGAAGCTGTAATGTTTGACTGTACAGCATTAAGGTTAATGGGTCATAAAAGCCATGGACTGGAAAACAGTGCTCTCACCTAGATTCTGCTGTCCAGTTTAATGCTTTGTGAGCGAGCCGGACAGTTATTCCCTTTTTAACCTAAACTGTCAATAAAGCTGAGCTGTTATAAAATTTCCTATGCGGAAGAAACACCACTTGTCATTCATAAGTATTATATACTCACGGATTTCCCTGAAGCACCTCTGGGGAGCAGTACTCCAGTGTGCCACAGAAATTGTAGAAGAGCTTCCCTGGAGCCATCATGGCAGCAGAGCCGAAGTCTATCAGTCGAATGTGGAAACACTTGTCGATGATGATGTTCTCATCTTTTATGTCCCTGTGAAGGATGTTCTTAGTCCTCAGATAAAAGACAGCGGCCACCAGCTGAGAAACAGAAAGAACCTCCAGTTTAACAAGGGGCTAATCAACACTTCACATTGCAGACCCCAGTTCTCTTTCATATGCAAATTTTTAATCCATGTACTGTACCTGTCTAAAGATGTAGCTGGCCAGAGGCTCATCCAGCCTCGGCTGCATGTCAATGAATTCAAAAAGGTCTAAACCATCTCCATGTTTCTCCATCACCATCTGGAAGTAACTCCCATTCTCAAATACCTCCAGAACCTTGTGGCAAACACATATGGTAAAGCAAAGGAATTTAATATTAGAAACAAATGTTTCTGAAACCTTGTGACTGAAAAGTTCTGATGTGAAAACCCAGTTACCTTGACAATGTTGTGGTGCTGTACTCGTGTCAGTATGGCAATCTCCTGGCTGACTCGTCCCAACATGGGATCATCTACCCAGCAATCACTCACGATCCTGGCCTTACTAATGAACTTCACTATCACCTGCAAGTTTTGACAATTTGCAGTATATATTCGCATTAAGAGTAAATTGCTGCTTATTTAGGAAGTATATGTTTCTGGATTGATAAAAATTCTTTCTTACATCTTGTCCATCACAGCGCCTTACTGCCTTCCAGACAAAACCAAAGGCTCCTTTACCCACAGCTTTAAGTGGCTGGTACTCTTCTTCAAACTGCCCGTCACAGGCTCGAGACTGCTCAAGGTCCATGGTGGAGCGTAATGCCTCTCCATGACTGGCCTCACCAATCCTCTGAAGGAAGAAATTAGTAAATAATAAATGAGTTGAAAGAAGAGCAACACTTTAAATATTTTGATTAAGAAACATTATGTGCCATACTAACTTATTACTTAAAATCTTTATTGCCACTGACCTCTCCTAGACTGACTCCTGATTGGTTGTGCAGTGATCGATCTGTTTGCAACATTGTTCCCTGCTGCCCAGGCCTACTCATCCACACACAGAACATAGAGCTTCCACCAGGGAGGTCAGTCCTGCACACATCACACTGAACATCTGGAGAGAGGAAGAAAATATACTAGTTAAAGTCTATTTGCTGTTTGTAAGAATGCTGTAGATTTTTTTGGAGGGAAAGAGAATAACAGTGAATTCTGTATTTGTACCAACCTACTCTCGTGCCGTCTCTGTGGTATGCACTTCCTTCAAATCGCCCCTCCAGTATCTCAGTAGCATCTGAGGAAAGGCCATGTCCATTAACCTTCTGTTTCTTCGGCGTAGATGTAGCAGGAATGTCTGTCACTGACTGAATCCCACCATTCATTTGCACACAGAACTCCTCGCTCTTTCCTTTATGAATTGAAGAGAGAGCTGTCCAGTGATCCTGCTCGCCTGGATCCTTTCCTTGTTCCTCACTTGAGCCAATTCTGGCCTCCACAGCAGCATCTCCATTCTGAACAGGATCTGGTTCCTGGTCAGACTCTACCCCACATGGTGAAGGTGTCCGCAGGAGCTCAGCTGTATCACAGGATATCATGGAGTGTTGGTTGTCATCGTTGTACCCTCCGCCACTGAGCAGCTCTACACTACCGCTCAGATCGAGGTCAGCCAGGGCCTGGGTCACCAGATCACCATTGCTGTTGAGGTCTAGGAAGCAGCTTGCCGAGTCCACTATCTGTGCTGAACAAGAGTCCTCTGCTTGGCCTGGGTCAGAACCACCATGACCGGCAAACTTTTCACAGAAGCCAGAGGAAGACCTGGGAAAGTGAGTTTCAACAAACTGATTACAAAGAACAACAAAATACAGCATTAGAATAGCAAATCTGTTTAGAATAAACACATCCTGATGGTATAATTTTATCAAAAGGAGGTGGAGAAATGTCAACATTGCTGTAGGATGTTGCCAATTTTCTGTCCAATCTCAAACTGGCATGTCATTGTCTTTCAGGGCTTCTTTGCACCCACATAGCTGTAAATTCTGGGCTATTTCAAGCTACTTTGCCTGTAAAAGATGCAAATGAAAAGCAGTTCAGTACAAAAGGATGTTATGGAATTACTCTGCAGTTGTCATGCCAGGAGAGATACGCTTTCTTATTTTAAATAAATTTATTTAACAAAATTTCTTTCTTCAGTGACACTTCCACCCTTAAGCAGTGAAGCCTATACAATTTGAATGAAAGCACAGAAAGAATAAAATAGATGATTTCTTCAGTGATGTAGTATGTGACACACTGCTAAATTTTCCTTGTCTTTGAGCCTTGATTACTGAAATAAAAAGATGGGCTGTCTTAACAATTAGATGTTAGATGTGGTGATAATTACATGCATATAAAGCTGAAGCCAGTTACATATATGGTGCTAAAAATGTGATGAAGGAAACATCTTTTAATAATATCTTAATAAAGAATCACAGTTTCTCCCCTCACCTGCTCTCCAGTGAGATGACCTCAAAACTGGAGTCTTGGAGGACAGAGGCACATGATCCTTGGTCTTTACTTCTGCCAGGGGAGGCACCACCCACTCTGCCAACAGCATGTCCTTTCTGAGCGGGAGTGTCTGAACAGGGAAACAAAAGCAGTAGAAGAAACATGCTCAAAGCAATTTCTCAAAGACTGATCTTTAGATGCTATTCCTCACTGTACATATGAAATCACTCCAAACAATATTAAACATACACATGCTGAATGTTCTGTTTCAGTACCCATTCTAATATGTACCGCAGTTTAGTTTCTGAGTTGCAAGCAAGAACTAAATATACATGACTATAGAAAAGAGAAACAGCTGGTCACCTGGGGACAATCTCACCTGGGATAATCTCAATGGCAGGGTGATTATTTTCCTGAACCCCACCGTGGAGCTGCTTTTCTAGGTAATGGTGTGGTGGTCCTGGGAGAACACGGCAAGAGAAGGTGCCTTCCTCTGGAGGTTCCACCCAGGCAAATGTCTTGAGGAGTGCCTCAGTGGTATCTGCACTGTCTAGCTGGCTACTGCAGGGAGCAACCTGGGCTGCCTCCTCCATCAGCTCTGTAGTGTCATCGGCTCTGAGGAAAGAGAATGGCTGGATTTTTATTCAAATATTGTTTAAATATTTCAAATAAGACTGTAATGGCCACACAGTAAAGAAACAATTCTGGGAGAAAGTCTTAAATAATAATGATAATATCAATAATAATCTGGTATTAGAGTTTTTTGTGAAAATAATGATGGAAATGTATATGTATAATATGCAGCTGCTCTAGCGCTTTATAGGTGCTTCATTAGCAGGATGGAGGTATCTTTCTTTTTTTTTTTTTTTAAGCTGTAGCTGTTACAGCCAAAGTGTTGTCTTAGTACTGTTCACTGTTACTATACATCACTGAATCACAAAAAAGCACCATCATAGGTGTCATTCTTTCCAAATAAATGGATCAGAACACAAGATACCACATCAAAATATTTCAAGTAGAAGTTGGCATTATAAAGACTACTATTACCCATCTGTTTGTCATAGGAGACGTGTGCATGCATAGAATGAATGTTTAAACCTCTTACAGATGTCAGCTTATAAACAGCACATTCATAGATTTATAACTGTCAAGAAAGCTGTTCATGTTTTCTGCTCGAAGCTGTGGCATTAGTTATTTGTTGTGAATAAGCCCTTCAAGAGTTCTTTTTTCCTTGTGGGAGAGTCAGGATATATGCAACAGCCAATAATACTCTATTGTAAATTTCATATAATCATCATTTCTCATCTGCAAGGACAGAAAAAAAAAATCAATCAATATAGTTCATGGGTGAGCATAATTTTTTAAAGGTGACATTGTTTCCCAGAGGCGCTCGGTTTGATATGTGGTCTTGCCTAAAGGCTGCTAGATCTTACTGTATAGCTGTAGCAAGAGTAACGAGTCTTGAAGGGTTTTAAAACCTTGTAGTGTAGTCAATCTTATGATGAAGAAGGTTATTCACCAAAAACGCACCACATAACTGTTTGAGGAATTTAATTATGTGTCATTCATGGAAATGCAAGGGGGATTTTATTAACACTGAGGGATACTGTACTAAATAATTAATTGAACAACAAACATACAACACTACAGCAATGCCATAGTAATATTTCTTAATCAGGGGGGAACACACGTCTGCTTTCTTTTAAACCCTTCATATGGATCTCTCTTATCTGTTACTAAACCTGAAAATTGGCCAAACATCATGTCACTTTACTATATATCAGTACCTTTTTTTTTTTTTTTTAAACATAACATGCTGTGACATTATTTGTCCAACAGATGGCAAAAGAGAAATGTTACTACATTGTAAATCCAAATTCTGAGGTCTTCATCTTCCAGAGTCACAGTCATGATCATATTATGTGGTGAAGCTATTCTTAACCCACATGTTAACAGCTAAAGATTTTTTATCCTACAAGTTTAGAAAAAACAACAAATAAAATATGGTAAAAGCATATATGTTACAGGAAAGCTGTAAGTTAAAGAGTGGCTGGTTAGACACACAGAAAGGATATCAGGCTTGGCTATAAAGTTGCTGCTGTTTTCAAGATTTACTGCAAAGCATATTAAATATACATGCAGTCTCCTGCTTTTAGGTGCCTGCATGCTGCTACAGCAGCTTTTGTCTGTCCATTACTTGAGAAATCACAGGAAGCCCAAATTCTGATGTCTGCTAACAAATAACCTTCTGTCCAAGTTAAACACATTCAAGATGTTTATTATCCTTGTTGAATTTGAAGACATTGAGTTCTTGATTAAGGTAGCATATGACAACGAGCACATTGGGGCATTTACTTACATAACCATTCGTGTAGAGGTGACTGCAGGAGGGGAAAGCGTTGACAGAGCGCTGCCCTGTTTCTCCAGCTTGGTGCTGGTTCCAGTGAAGATCCTACCTCTCCCTATCGAGGTTCTTCCCATGACCGCCCGGTGCACCGTGGCCATATCTCCAGCCACCAGTGAGGATGGAGCTACAATTGAGAGAAAGAAGAAAATGATTAAAGCACACAGTATAAACAAATACTGCTGTATGTAAAGACAAAATAAAAACACACAAGAGGAATAAATTCAGAGTAAGGAAACTATTGTGAGGTGCATACAGGAAAAGAAAAACACAAAAATGTCTGGTCAGACAGACAGGATGCATCATTTATTTTTCACCACCCATATATGTTGTTTTACCACAGAGACAACACCTGAGACTAATCACAGTAAGTAGGTTGTGAAAGTATACCAACTTGTACACATCAAAAATGGTTATGAATGCTTACCAGATTTTCCTGATATTTTAGATGAGGCTGTACATTTACCAGCCTCTACCTGAGAATCAGGGAATGGACAGGCCCCTCTGTCTGAGTCGGACATCCATCCATAGAAACAAGGCATCAGGAAAGTGACACTCTGTTGATGACAAAGCAGCAATGACAGAAGTGAGGGTTGGCACAGACCTCAATCCAAACAGCCCTGTTCAGCCGCTCATGTTGGCTAACCTTTCCTAAGAGCTCGTCCTTGCTGTAGCCAAACAGACTGAGGGCCAGGTGGTTGTGGATGCTGGAGATGGAGCCATCAGGGCGGAGCAGGAGGAGACCACTTAGAGGAGCAAACACCCAAACTGTTCCAGAGTACTCCAGTGCAGGGCTTGGGGAGATGACACTGCTGTCCACTTTGACTTCTTTAAGAGTCCAGGCACATGTTGAAGACGCACAATTAGCTACATCAAGTCCACTCAATTGCAGTATTTGGTGAATTAAGTCTTTATGGTACATACTGTATACTATGTAGTGTTTATTATTGTTTTGCACCCTGAAACACTTCAGGAAAAGTGAAATTAAACACTACAGTTTGTACAGAGCCATATATGATCAATATGGTTTATATTACGGTAGGTTGTATGCAAATCTATTTAGTCTGTTAAGTCTGTTACTGTTCTGTGAAAACCATGTACCTCAAAACCATCTGTTTTTTCTGCCTTGTGACATGCAGGTTTCTGATACCCTAGTGTGTTTTTAGCTGATTTTGAATGAATATGTAGAGGCATTTTTCTCATTGAACAACAGCGTTGTGTATAATGGTTATATTCCTTTAGGTTGGTTTCATGTCGACTCCCACTCATTTGTTGATGCAGTTTTTATGTTTTTGGCATACTTTGGTGTGACTTGTGAGGATTTCTCCTAACATTAAATAACTTTGCTAACTTTGATATCTGACATTCAACTTCTTAGCCATGCTTGTCAGCTACTTCAGAGTTTGATTACTTTCCCACCAGGATGTGACTTTTTTAATCTATCCTTTGTATATTTTTCATATAAAGTGTAGAGTCTTACACTGCAAGATGTATGGCCAGGATAACAGCACAACATAGTGGATTATGCACCGGTTTTATCAAAATAATATTGAGTGTGTTTTTAATCCCTCTGTGACCTAGCCATAGGTGCCAACTTACCAGAGGACTGCTCACACTTTTCAGAGTGTGAGGCTTCTGTCTTGCACAGAGGGTAAGTGAGAGGGGAGCAAGGCTGCTTATCATGTGCATCTGATCTTTCTTGACTATCTGCTGGGTTGGTGAAACCACTACCATTATTTTGGTGTTGGGGTTTTCCACATAGTACTGCCCCCTGAAGTTTGACACACAGTGGGACTGTTGCACCCTCTCTGCTTTTACCATACTCTCTCTGAACTCTCAGCATCTAAAGGGAGGAAGGAAAAGCAAAGTCAAAGATGACAGACTTAAAGAAATACCTGAGCTTATAATGTTGTAGGATATAATTTCTTTTCTGCGTGTTCCTGAACTGTTGAAGTAGCACACTGGTAAACAGAAACTAAAAGCAAAGATTAAGAAAGGGAACTTTCCTTAGCTGAGTGGGACAATTTTGGTTGTACAATGTGCTTACTTTGGGCAATGCATGACTGTTGAGGGGGATTTGTAAAGAGGGGATTAGCTCCTTAACTGACACCCCTTTTAACTCATCAGGATGGTGGTACCCATGGAGATGGGCAAATGCCAAGTCGCAAGATAGGATGCTGCCCTAGAAATGATAAATGATATTGAAAGTGTAACAAACAATTGTCTTAATGGGTTAGAAAGGTTGCCAAAGAAGCAAAGAAAATCACACAACGAAGGCTGCGAAATAATGATGTACTCACATCTTGTGAAAAGGAGAGACAGGCTGATAACCGTTCAACATTTTCCATCATGACAAGCCAGTCCTCCTCATTTTGTGACAGTCTGAGGGTGCACACGGACACTGGCACCTCTCCAGACAGAGTCACAACATCCACCTACAGAAAAAGTATTTAAGATACATAACACACTCTTATATATACACACAGACATATTCTTGCAGCAGTGGTGTAGGAAATTAAAGACAACTGACTGAATAGTAGCGTGATGTAGTCATGTTTTAAGGAAAATTCAAGAATTCAGAGCATAGTTATTTTCATTATTAAGTTTTTTAGTCAGCATATTTCATACCACTTTTCCAGACACAGCTGCAACAGTTCCATCAACTAATGGAAAATCTTCTTCCAATGCTTGTTCCAGGACCTGACTGGTTTTCTTTAGGAGACAGGACAGCTTTTTTCCAATCAGCTCATTAGTAGTGCACTCAAACAGTTTGCAGGCCTGTTCATTTGCTGACAAAATCTGAAAGATGAAAAGAACATTTACAGGGTATACTCTTGTCGCAGTGCTGTTTTCTGCTCAGCTGCCACTGCTCACATTAAGTGGACACACAGTACCTTTCTGGTTTTATGGTGAACAGTAAGAATGACTTTGTTTGGGTTGAGGACAGATGAAGATCCTGACAGGCCAAATCTTCCAGAGATTAGCTGACAGAACAGGTTTTCCTCTGTCTCTGACACAGTGGATGGGTGTGGCAGGCAGACAGCAGAAACTTGTGAGCCAGGATGTAAGCTAGATATTTGGTGGTTTCTTGTTGCCACAGAACTGCAAACATCCAAACGTTCACCTGTAAGCAAAAAATTGGGGACAGATGCCTGTTTTTTTCTTTAACACTTTCTCCCATCCTTATCCTCAAAATCAAGGCTGCAGCTAAAAATAAATTTAGTAATATAGTAAATATTAGTCCAAGTCGACATCTTCAAATAATATATTTTTTTTTATGGGAAAATCGGTGCCAAACTCAAATATAGTCAGTTTACTTTGATAGAAAACAGCAACTCTTACTTTTATGCACCTTTGCTAATTAATTATGTAAAACTGTTGTGGATTATCCGTGTGTCGACTGATTAATCATTTCAAGTCTACTCACAATTACAACCAAAACATTGGCTTGTCATGCATGGCCAGAGGGCTGTGTGTACACACCTGTCAAGGAACCAGAACAATAACGACGTTGCAATGCCAACAGGCTCTTCTTGTACAGCGGTTTCTGAGTGTATGGGTAGGACTTATTCAGGTCAAAGTCATCTTCCAGGAGGTAAGAGGAGAGGTCGGGCACCACACAGATAGTGTCTCCTTTAATTCTGATGCTTTGGCTCACCTCAGTCGACAGCGACATTGCTGTTAGTTATCCAGCTAGTACTGACAATGATATAGAGACCGTTAATAGGCTCCGACATTGCAATATTAGTATACAAGTGACGGGTTAGCTTATTAAAGCAGATTTAGCTAATACAGACACTGCTTTATTGATTACCTGTAAGTTGCTCAGGTACTAGCGTCTGATTTGAGAATGAAGTCCGACAAAACACTCACCTTGAGTCGTAGAAAGGTCCTGTGAGGATTGTATTTCCAAGCTGTTAGGGCAGGTAATGGCCACAGCAGTTTCAGTTGACGCTAGTTGACAAGGTAACGTTACCTCCCCTGCGCTACCGGGCTAGCTAGTCATCTGCTAACGTTACTGCTAACGTTACCACAAACAAAACGCCGACGCACTGTTTGGCTCTGAAGTAACAGGGTTTGCCGCTGCAGTTTTGAACGACTTTATTAAGAGTTGACCTTACCGCAGCATCAGCACAATTTCGACATCATTGGAACCGGTCAACCTTGAATAAAAACAGATTTTTGCGATGACTTCACTTCGTCCAGCTGTAGTTTTTGTAAACCGCGGGTTTCGAGCGCCAGCCAACTAAACGATTCGACAAAGTCGTCTGTAGCCAATCAAATATCACGCTTCCAAGCAGGAAAACCTTATTGGATAATTCACCGGAAACGCCCGCCTCTGTTTCCATGGAAACAAAGTCACAAAAGTAAATAAAATACGATAAAATAAATAAGTAAAATGTCTCAAATGTAAGCATTTTTCACATGTCAAATAAATAACTCACGCATTATTTTATTAAGAAACAGCAAAACATGGTCGAACCCCAACACCAAACAACAGTAACTACCCCAAAATGTTTAAAAAGTCACAGACTTTTTTTTTTTCTTTTACTGGGGTTTACAGTCTAACTCAGCAAACAATAAGTCTACCTTAGCTAGGCTATATAATTTAATTTATTTTACTGGGTTAAAAAAAAGAAGGCATCCATAGCATTAATAAAAAATTACTATAGAATTTTAAAACATATCACATGAGAATTATAAGCTCTTTATTTGTATGTACAGATAAAATGAACAACACCAAAACACGTTTGAACAGACAGAACATAACAAAGATAATCTCATTATGTAAAACTGGCATCTGGGAGAAGTTGGGTAAGAATTCAATGTGTTCCAGGTGCAATGGCTGCAGGGGTCCATATGGTTTGTGTGTGTGTTTTTTTTTCTACTGAGTCCCTTCATTAGCTACATGGCTTTGTTTGTTAAATCCACAAGCTCCCCCTTGAGAGGATCAACTGTGACAAGACAAACCTTTTAGCCACAACATAGACGGAAATCAAATGAATCAGACATCATCATCACTGACGGTCCAAATTAAAAGTGGTTGAAGGGGCACAAGAGGAGAGCACACTACGCTGTACTTTTGCATGAGTGAAAAAAAAAAACACACAGATGAAAAGCTCATTCTGACATAGCTGCTTAATAAGGAAAATATATAACAGTCAGTACAGATTTTTGAAACATATTTTAGCTTAATTTAGCTCTCTTGGTATAAGCAACAACATTGTGAGCAGAATTTCAGTTCATCCAATACTGAAACGATTCATCACGTTGACAGGTCAGCTCCACCTGTAATGTTAGCATATCATCCAGTCTGCCTAGACCAGGCCCAATTACACACGTCATTATTGTTTTGTTTTTTGTCTTTTACATCACAAACATCTAGTAAGGTAGATTTCTAGAACATTGGGTACATTTTGATACAGATCATCTTTTTATTGTGTACTTACTGCACTGCCATGAACTTATGTGATGCTTTTTTCAGCAGTAAGTGCCTCTAAAGTTTTCTTTACTGAATTCATCAACACCCATGCTTACAGAAGTAATTTGAGCAAGATTTATTTCATAATAATGTAATCTTTTGCTTCTTTGAATTTGTGGTTCAGCAACTTTTGCACAGTTTGTTAGAGTGTAGGAGGCTTTCACTCCAGAAATCATCTTGCTGGATCCATTAACTGTTGTTCAGACTGAGTCCAGTGGCTGGCTGCTATAGCTAAAGCATGCATGCTTTGTCAAGTAACTCACTTCACAATAATGAGTACCGGTTGATCTTCATACAGACAAGGAGCCAAGCAGAACACTTTACACAGTCACACACACAGTCATACGCGCACAGGAGCAAAGTTGGGCACGCATTTATGGTGCCATGGCTGTGAAAAGTGAGCTTTGATAAGCTTTTGGAGCATAGTTCACTAAAAGGGGAGGCGGGTTCATTCTAATGGTGGTAGTCCCTTTTACTGTGCGGACGATTTCCCAGAATATGATCAACCTCTGAGGCAATGCCTGCTGTCATCTTTGGAATTACCTGTAGTGCACAAAACAAAGGAAGACGTCATAATCAGTGCTGTTTGACCAGACCACGTAAGGACACGATTATTTGGTATTACTCAGGCCTCGGAAATGGTCTTTATACCTGAATGGCTCCCAGATTCTCTGTTAGCTGACTCGGATTGGAGGATCCCAGCAGTACTGAGCTCACTCCCTCGTTCCTCAGGCACCAGGCTAAAGATCAGGGGTAGGAGTAGTTTTTAAAGTAGCTATTGTGGTATCATGGCATCAGACAGTAGGTAGAGAATCACTGAATTCTTTGTTTGCTTTGCACATGAATTAAAAGTTGAGGGTAATAGGTTGTTTATGTTGTCCCTTACCTATGGCTAGCTGTGGCAAAGTACATCCAAGCTTCTCAGAGATATGAGCCAGTTCCTTTAGCTTTGCTTGTTGTTTTCTCCCATCTTCACTCATTATTTTCTCCCTCAACCACTGGTATGGCTAGAGGGACAGTAAAAGTGGAAGAATTAGAATTATACCTCAGAATCAGGTGAAAACAACGTATGTTATGTGGTTGTGGTAGCTGGATATATGAGTGACAGAGTTTGAACATATGGCACTAGACAGATGGTCTGATGAAATTCATTTTGTACCTTCATTGAGGCCCTGGAGGATTCTGGGACGCCGTTCTCATACTTTCCAGTGATGATTCCACAGGCCAGAGGGGACCAAGAGACCACACCCACACCTGGGATAGAAAAATGACCACTGAGCAATAGGATACAAAATCTCTCACAGCCCTAAATCCTTTTCAAAAAAGAAAACACTTACCTATCTTATGGTACAGCTCTGGCAGCTGAGTTTCCACTTTCTCCCTCTGGAAGAAATGATACTCAGCCTGCTCACATACAGGTGGAATTAGATTAAACTGCCTGGCCACAGAGTATGCCTCCTGATTGAATGTGAAGAGGGAATCAAAAGAAAGGGGAGACATGTTTAAGAGATTAGGAAACAGACGTAAACACTGACCTTTATGCTCAAAGATTTTCTTCTTTTTTTTTACTCACTTCTTACGTATAGCAATTATTGTTAAAGTATTGTTCACTGTCTCCTTCTACACTATAAAGAACATGTCTTTTACAGTTGTGATAGCTTCAGTAGTGAGGGCAAAATGGATATCATGATAAACAGAAGATGCATTTTCCTATATTCTGAAATCATTCAGGAAAATGTCTGACTTTGTATTTGCTTTGTAGTGGTAACTTAGACAGCACATATCTGTTTAATGGTATTAAAAAATGTTCCAACAATGTGATCGACAAAGGAATAGACAAAAATGAATAAATATTAATATCAATAGCAAAGTGAGTCTTTATCTCATGTTGTTTGTGACGAGATGAACAAAGATTTTTCCATTACTCACCATGATCTCCATGGCAGACCACCGTGACGTCCCCCAGTACATGGCCATCCCCTGGTTGATCACATGTGTCATCGCTCTCACTATCTCTGTAAAAATGATAGTATCATCATCAATATCACAGAGCAGATACATTGTCAATAATTGAACAGCGGATGGCGCCACAATTTCAACTTTTATATAACATACAGGAGGACAATTTTTAAAACTCTACTGACATTAAGTTTGAATTGTAGAATCTTATTTTGACGTTATAGTCACAAAAATACTTTACAAGAGATTTAGATCATCAGAGAGTAAAAGGAAATTTTTGACAAAAATTGAAAGACAACTTTGGGAACTTAAAAAACAAGGCTTTATTAAAATGGCTACCTTCAGGAAAGTAAAAACAACCCAGATCCTTGGAATGTACTCAGCCTGACTGTGACAAAGGCTCACCTCCATTTAAACTCATATGCAGAAATTGTTTACCAGGGTCAAACTAATTAATGTGGCCAAATGCTGCAGGGGTTAAATGAAAAGACTCAGCCAACCTTGGCAGAATGTTGCTCATGTAGTCGAACAAACCATAGTAATTTACCACTGAAGGGGCTGAAATCAGCCACAGTGGTCTTTAATGGTTTGTGCATTTGTGCATTAGGATGCAGCAGGGAAGTAACAGTGGGTGGAATAGTGGATAAGCTATATTGTGTTTCATAAAACTACTGTGAACTTCTTTCTCAAAGGAGTTTTTAACCAAAGACATCTCCAACAGGAGGAGGAAATAGGCTACAGCAATTATTTTACAATTATTTTGAATGTGTGTCGATGGTTGTGCACAAACTTTTTAATTACAGAAGAAAACAACAACAAGGTGATAAAGTAATTTATGTGATTGCTTTAATCTGTAATTGCTTGCTTCAGCTTGTAATTTGTGCTTAAAGTACATTAATGAAACATCTGCTTCATTTGCACAATGCAAATTCTGGGTGCAAAATATGAAGCGGGGAGAGTGAAAATGAGGGTGACAAGATGAGACTACAGCAGAGTGTGATTAAAAAAAGAGTGATTCCTTTTCATCAGTAGTTCTCTCTCTCTGGACTAAAATGTAGCTCAGTGAGAGACAGAGAGCAAGTGTGCGTGTGGGTGAAGCAGGTGGGAGGGTAGAGGAATAACAGTACATCTGCTCTGAAAGGGAGGGAGGGAGTGAGGGATTTGCAGGGATGTAAGGACAGTGGGAAAAACTGTGAACCAAGTAGGAACCTTAGAGGCATACACAGTTCACAGGAGTTTGTGAATATATGAATAATCCACCTCAATGCCGGGAGAGAAAGATCACAAGTTGATTCACAGCTACATCCATGCTAGTCTTAACATAAAGTCTCTTTCCACAAGGCCGTAGTGAGTCACCAACTCCAACAACAGACGGCGCACCGAGCGTAGCGCGCGGCTGTGATAACCATCGAACACCATCAACACCCCACTCATAAAAACCCACAGCAACTTTTCAAGTAGGGTAATGATGTGGGTGAAGTTGTGGGCGCATGCACATGGCAACGTGTGCATGTTTGTGCAACATGTACTGTTTTATAA